GAAAAAGACAATGAAATTATAGAAAGGGTTGAATGGTACCATGAACGGACAACAAAGATTTTAAAAACTAAAGCCGATACAGGGTGGGTTTCAGGATGTTTAGACCTTAAAGCCGACAAGAACCATACACATACAAGTTTTACAACTTTTAGAGCAGACGACATAGTATTGAACTTTGACCTTGGTTCAAGTGCACCATTAGAAAATCCAAGTACAAGCGTAAAAGATACTCTTAACATTTTAGATAAGAGTTGCAGGAATATCGAAGATCATACCAGAAACTTTGAAGCATACGAACTACCAGCAATGTTAGATAAGAAAGCTGACAAAACAGAGCTTCAAACGTTAAAGATTGAAATACTTCAAACACTATATCCTATAGGTTCTATTTACACGTCAATGAACTCTACCAGACCAGAAGTAGTACTTGGTCTCGGAACTTGGACTCAAATAGTCGACAGGTTTTTGTATTGTGCAAACTCTTCAAAGGAAACAGGTGGAAGTAAAACGATTTCAGGTGAAAACTTACCTGCACACAGTCACTACATAGATTTAAGTACATCTCAAGCAGGTTGGCATAAGCATAGATTTTGGGATTGGTCAGCAATGAAAAAAGGTAAAGGATATGATGTTAAAGACGACGTTCAGTTTGCTATAAATTGTTTCTGGGGTAACACACAGGGAGAAGGAAACCATACACATCGCGTTTCAGGGTATACGCAAACAACAGGACAAAGTAAAGACTACATGCCACCTTACATGACAGTTTACGCATGGTATAGAAATGCTTAGTCGTCATTTTCAACTTCTTTAGCATATTCGTCAGGAGTTGTCTTATATTTGTTAGGAACTGTCTTTGAAAGTATACCACCTTGAACTTTGACAAGTTTGAAACGAGGTCTGACAATAGTAGTTTTATCTTCTGCTTGCAGTCTGTACATTTTGCCATGTTTGCCTAAAACTTCATAATATTCTCTTGTATACTTTCTTCTATTTTTACGAACACGAATGTGAGTACCTGTCGAGTTCCCATTGTTGTCATAGTCAATAGTATTTTCATATGGGTCGCGTTTAGGTATTTCTATTTTTACTTTGTCACCTTTCTGAAGTTTGAAGCCTGGCATTCTTTCTTGTTTGTCTCTTTTGACTAAACTATTAAATATATAGTCTTTCTCTAAGTCAGGGTTGTTTTTCATTTCTTCGGGGGAGTGGTTTCCCAAACCTTTTTGTTTACGGCTATTGTAAATATTTAAAACTTGTCTCATCTTTGCCATGGAGAAGTGTCTATACTTGTCGTCATATGACATTTCATTTGCTTCACCACCTTGTGGTTGGTTTAAGTCTCTTAAGATTTTTATACAACTGTCAATGACACCAAGAGCAGAATGGTTTTGGTCGACAATGAAATATTGGTTTACATTTTTTGAACGCAGATAGTTTTTAATATCGTCTGATTTGAAAGAACTTTCATAGTCAGATGTCAGTTTTGTTGGATGGTATTTGTCAACGAATATTGTCAAAGCAGTTTTCACATCTAAAATATTTTTGGACCATAATGGTATGGCTTCACAGTATCTTGTGTTTTGACCGACAAATATTAGCCAGTATGGTGGTCCATCTTCTCTATACCTCGGAATGTTTTCCAAGATATCCATAAACCAAGCATTTGGTGTTGAACTAAAGATTTTTACCATGAGTGCTTTCTTTGTTGCCTTAGAAACATACGGGTCCTTGTTTGAATTCGTCATTTTTAACCCATAAGAAATGGGTTTATTTGGCGCATTAGCAGGAGTCGCATCTAGATTTTTGCCCGCAGTGGGAACAATAGCCAGAGGTGCATTTGGAATTGGAAGGAAGATTTTGAGTACATTAGGTATACTGAAAGAGAAAGCACAACCTATTATACAAACTGTACAGAAAGGTTGGGAGGTAGCACGAGATGCAGCAAATCTTATTCCAAATCCTGAAACAAGAGGAAAAGTTCAAGGATGGATGGACAATGTAGGAAGACAAGCAGGAAACTACTATAACAAAGCAAATGACTACTATAACCAAGCAGGGCACTACATGGACCAAGGTGAAAGATTCTTTAACAGAGGATATAACCATGCACAACAGTGGGTAAACAACAACCAACCTCAACCGCCTCAAACGTGGGGAATGTAAAATTTTTTACTGAGATGAAATGAACAATACAGCTTTGAGACAAATGGGCTCAAGATGGATTTGTCGGCTTCCAGCAGTTACACACCACGTGTTTGTCAAGTTCTTCCTATACCTCAGGAAGTTTTAGACCGACTTAAAAAACCTCAACAACCAGTTGAAAACAAACCAAACTAAAATTTTTTACTGAGATGAAATGACCGAAGAAGTTGAAACGGTAGATTTGACACCACAAACAAAAAGTTCAGAACCATTGTCAAAACCTGTCAAAGAACTTACAGATGAAGAGAAAAATTCAATAATAGAAAGTGTGAGGTCTGGAAATACAAACCCTAACTACAAAGTCACTTTTCATAAAAATGGAACGGCAAGTATCTCAAAAAAGAAACAGACTCTCACAAATAAAATATTGAAGTCTGAAGGAGCTTTCGAGACAACAGATGGAAAAGTTTACTTCACTGACCAACAGTTCATTATAGAACATCTCATTGACTTAGAGTCGAAATATTCTAAACTTTACAACAAACACAAAAAGTTGAAAGGAAAACAGAAACAAATGGCATATGACATTTATGAAGATGTTGACGACACAACTGTTCAAGCAAGTGAGGTAAAGTCAGATGAACCGAAAAGTGACGAAAAACCAATAGAAGAAGGTGAGCCAAAAACTGAAGATAAACCAAAACCAAAGTTTAGTTTCAATACTAAACCAAGTCAACCTTCATTAGCTGGTATGGGTTGGCGTCAAAGACTTATGGCAGCCGGTGGTTATGTAAAGTAAAGAAAAAACATTTTTTTATTTTTATAAAAATGCCCCCATATAGAATGGACAGAAGGTCTGCTAGAATAAAAGCAGAGTTAGAAAGATATGGTTGGAGAGTTTCAAAGAAGTTTAAATATAGGAAGGGAAGACCCATAAAAGTCTATGACAAACTGGCTGGTCTGACCTATGAAATGGAATTGGAAACAGCACGCGCAAATTATCCAAACAGATTAGAGAGGTTAGAAGAAGAGCGTCTTATGGATATACCTTTCGATGTTAATGAGCCTCAAGTTGAAGGACACGACGGCTTTGCCAGGTTCTACTGGAAACATGACGAACAATTGCATCCTTGAGACGG